ATTGATGAATCTAGTTATTCTACCAAAACATAGTCGCACAGATGTTGCTTTGGAATCGCTGAAATCGAGAATCGGCCGGGCGTGTTTACTTCAGCATTTCCAGGAAAAACCCGCTCAGGCGTTAAGCACGCTGCAAGTTAACCCGCTTTCCGACAAACGTGAATGGACCAATCAGAAACACCTTTATTGTTTTGTATTGAAGCCAGTCAGAAGCACCTTTATTGTTTTGTATTGAAGCCAGTCAGAGACGGTCTTGCTCCAGGGTTCCTCAGAGCTCTTCCCTCCCTGACCGTCATGCGTAGAAGAGCTCTGGGGTCGAGATTGAAAGACTGTTAGCTTGCACCTATGACGCCCACGCGACTGGACACATATAAGCTTCTGGCAAGAAAACCGAATTTACTCAAAAGACATCTCCCGCGGTTGTGATATCAGGTTAAAATGAAAGAAAGTCAAAAGATCTAATTCAGCTTAAAACCGTTAAGTAGACTTTTACTTCTACACCATTAAAAACCACCTTACCATGAAGGATAATTTTCTCACCTCCCCGTCTCGCGCCCTCAGTCACTCGCGTGGCCATTTTCTTTTCTCGCGCGTTTTGCTCGACAGACTGAAAAAGAGGCTTCTCGTGGTCTAGGCCGTGATAACCGAAACTATGAGTTGATCATACCGGAATGTTGATAAGTGGATATTTCGATTCTCTCTAAAAAAAGCAGGATTTTTTCTTAGGCAGGATTAAAAGCTTTACACTAATTTTTTTCTTACCTTAAAACAGGTTATTTCATTAACTTTCGTTAATTGATTCTTGGTTGTACCACAGAAAAACTATTCCTTGAAATACAACTTAAAATATTATTTACAACAATATATTACCAGAGGTTTTTAAACATATTCTGAGAAGACAAACTAAGTTAAAAAAACGTAATGCTTTATTCAATTGTCAATGCCTCGACGTAAATGAGTTGTATCCTAGGATTCCTTTTGCGCTTTTGGCGAACAAGGGTCTGGATGTACATTATCTGTTATCCGTTTTCCGTGTCCGTTATGTCTGCTCTGATCTCGGATATTTTATTGCGGTGAGCACGAATTAAAGAACAGTGATGGAATTTTAGATAGATAGGGTATTTCTGTACTAAATATTAGGAGTCATTTGTTCTTTCACGAGGCCCTCTTACTAGGTCAAGTAAGGAATACATTCTTCATTCGTCTACCTGTATAGAAGACTGAAATTGGACGTTATTATTGAGAGTTCCTTGATGATTTTAAAGGCATGAGATATAGCTTAACTATTCTAACCAAAGAGGTCTTTTCATAATTCACCCTGAGAATTTTATTCGAAAAGTTTTAAATTGTTTCCTTGGTACATATAGCTCACCTTTTATTGAGGTTGAAGAGTAGACTCCCTCGAAGTTAAAAAATCCGAGTTCATGATACCTTTTAAAGGTTAACATCATGAATTGACCACTTGTTTGTACGATGAATGGGCGTCTTGATCCACTAAAAATACCCAGCAAGGTGTCATATTTACTTCTTCCATCAAAGACTTTAATCTCGCTCCTGATTATCGTCGAATAATTAAAGAGATTAAATGTGGTAAAGGTCAATTTGACGGTGTGGTTAGATGGTGCTGTAATGATCCACGTGCAATCGTACATGGAGTTGTTTTTGGTTGTACTGGAGCTGATGACCCCATTGGAGCTACCCACATAGTTGAAGCATGGATTGGCGTGCACATCTGAAAATGAGTACAAAAATTATAGAGATTATATTTATCATTCGAAATAATTATTTAAGTGAACCGTCAATTTACATCTTTGAATATTAAGAGCATAAACTGCGTTGAGGTTGTTATACGTTTACGTTTAGTTAATCAATTCCTGGAAGAAAAAGATACACAAGAACAGCCAAAGCCGGGGGCTTAAATGGCCTGAGGTCAGCAAAAAAAAAGACGCGAAGAATTTACAGGAATAAATTAAAAATAAATTCCGTATTTTAATGCTTTACAATCACGATGTTTTAAGATTACAGCAAAAACCGAACATAAGTTCAACAAGCTTCTCTGGTCTTCTAATACTCGTAACCGAGCACGCATGGTATTGTGGGATGTCCAATACATAAACTTCCGGTTAACTCAAACATCCGGTTTCAATACACTACATCCCTCCTTTGTTTTTTTTTTAGAGCAGAACGAAAAGTCCACAATGAAACGAGAACAAAGACTTAAATACTGGATAAAGAAATTAAGTTCAGTTCCATAACATGATAAACAGGGTACAGCTTTAAGACGCTCCACCAGTGACAAAGTCCAGTCAAGCCTTTGACAGTTCATAATCATCAAATCGTTAGGAAGTCTAATAGTTCGAGTTGGTCTCGGGCTTGCTTTAAGCATAGGTGAACTTGGGTTAACTGTCCATGGCGAGCCGCAAGCCTTAGCGACCGAAATATGGGGGAAAATTTGTCCCCCATCTGACCAGAAGGCCATTGTTTAAATTCAGCCAAGCATAGACCGTTGACAGCTTGAAACCATACTTGAGCAGAAATGAGAATCTCCTTTCGTGGCCTCCTGTGAAGCTTTATCCGACATATCTTTCAACCGCTCATTTTAGCAGACACTACTAAAAAGCTGATGAGACGAACACAACTAAAAAACAGAACCTGATAGAATGAAAATCGCTCCAAAACAGTGCATCAGTTGGAAAACTTGTGGCAGTGTAGAGGGGTTTTGCAACAAACAGGGGATACTTCAGAATCAATATGCATTTATTTACCGAAGATGAACGAAGTGCAGCGATTTAAATTTGATAGAATTTATATTAACTATAAATTCAAATAGTTTTTACAGTAGCTTTCTCTGGAGAGCAGAATTTAAATAGGAGACTTCACCGGCCTTTTCTCATAAAAGGGAATAGTTCCGCTTTTAATTCTGCTCCCCCGAAATTTATATTTCTAAATCTAAGTAGCTTTCTTTTTCTTTTAAAAAAATTTTACGGGGGAATCGAAATGAATTTTGGTCGATTGGTTGCATCCATCGCGGTTCCCCCTATTTGTCTTTTAATAAAATACCATTGCACGAACGGTCTCTATTATTTTTCACGAGCCATAACCAACCAAGTTCCCTTGCACTAAGCGAAGGCGACACACCCGATCGCTTGCTTTTTCAGGCGACTCACCCAGAAGAGCACGTGCAGACGGAGCTTTGGTCGTTGTTTAGCTTTGTTCTGAATCACCCAAAGAATAAGTTCAATTGCGAATTCTAAGCGTCTAGTTGACTAAATACAATCTTAGCAAGTCCTAAACAAAAGAAAAATATATTTGGCAAACCGTTTCCCAAGACTATTTTACCTTATAAATTTTCCTAAGGCCTCGTTAATTTACAGAAAGATTCCTTTAATATACACGTTTTACAAAGTCTTCTTGCACTAAGCGAAGGCGACTCACCCGATCGCTCGCTTTTAATCAGGCGACACACCCAACATAAAAGCACGTACAGAATACCCTCAACCATGTTCATGAATTTGTTTTCGGTGAATTATATCAAAGCTCTCTGCTCGTGAAAAATAATAGAGACCGTTTGGGCAGTCGTATTTTATTAAAAAAGAACAAGTAGGGTGAACCGCGATGGACACAACCAATCAACCAAAACTCATTTGGATTCCTCCGTAAAAATTTTTAAAAGAAAAAGAAAGCTACTTAGATTTAGGGCCTTACAAATAACGAGCAAATTTAACACTCAACCCCTTCTCTGTGGAGTTCCTTAGGTAGGTCGGTAGGGGTATGGGTAACACGAGCGTCTGATATTTTTAACTCGTTTCATTTCATTTTTGATCGAAATAAAAAGCTTTGGAATAGCCCTTATTAATGGCTTTGTAGCACAATTTGCTACCAGTGGGAGTCATATCGGCCTATTTGATACTAGGAAAAAGATTATTTTCATAGGCAGAGCTCCGTCCGGCTGTGTTGAGAACGCATGCAACAACGCAATATTACGCGATAATTACTGGCCTTATTGTTGTACAAAGAGTGTTTTAACTGAAGATAATTTTCTCATTAATTGAAACAAAGATCTGAGCATGAAGTGACAACAAAATCAAAATCCCTGATGATTTGAAAGTTGCGCTTGTAACACCTGTTTATAAAGCATCTGAAGAAAATATTTATTCTAACTATAGACCTATCTCGGTCCTTCCGTGTTTTTCTAAAATACTTGAAAAGCTTATGTATAAAAGACTCATTGACTATATACATAAAAATGGAATATTAACTGACTGTCAATATGGATTTCGAAGTAACGTTTCAACAAATTACGCTATAATTGAGCTTGTTGATAAAATAACAAAAGCCATTGAAAACAATGAATTCACTGTTGGGATATTTCTTGACTTATCAAAGGCGTTTGACACCGTAAATCATGATATTCTCTTAAGTAAACTTTATTTCTATGGTATACGTGGGAGTTGCCATGCATGGATAAAAGATTACCTCTCTAATAGAAAGCAAATAGTGAAATATAATCAAATAAGATCATCTGAAAGATTGATTTCTTGTGGGGTTCCTCAGGGATCTGTTCTTGGGCCCTTACTATTTTTAATTTATATTAATGACCTTATTAACTCAACCACTAAATTGTCTACTATCTTATTTGCAGATGACACAAATATGTTCTGTTCAGGGAAAGATATGCATGAACTTGAAACTACAGTAAATTCGGAATTAGCTCAAGTCCAAGAATGGCTAACACTTAATCAACTGAC